AGGTACAGGGTACAGCAAAGGGAGATATTTGAAGAGCATAGATGGAGAGGTTGGTGGTCCTGGAGACATAGATACAGCACCAGGGAGATATTTGAAGAGCATAGATGGAGAGGTTGGTGGTCCTTGGAGAGCATAGATACAGCACCGGGGAGATATTTGAAGAGCATAGATGTAGAGGTTGGTGGTCTTGGAGAGCATAGATACAGCACCGGGGAGATATTTGAAGAGCATAGATGTAGAGGTTGGTGGTCTTGGAGAGCATAGATACAGCAACCAGCACCAGGGAGATATTTGAAGAGCATAGATGAGAGGTTGGTGGTCTTGGAGAGCATAGATACAGCACCGGGGAGGTTGGTGGTCTTGAGATATTTTTGAAGAGCATAGATGGAGGGTTGGTGGTCTTGGAGAGCATAGATACAGCACCGGGGAGATATTTGAAGAGCATAGATGGAGAGGTTGGTGGTCTTGGAGAGCATAGATACAGCACCGGGGAGATATTTGAAGAGATAGATAGGATGCTTGAGGTTGGTGGTCTTGGAGAGCATAGATACAGCACCGGGGAGATATTTGAAGAGCATAGATGTAGAGGTTGGTGGTCTTGGAGAGCATAGATACAGCACCGGGGAGATATTTGAAGAGCATAGATGTAGAGGTTGGTGGTCTTGGAGAGCATAGATACAGCACCGGGGAGATATTTGAAGAGCATAGATGTAGAGGTTGGTGGTCTTGGAGAGCATAGATACAGCACCGGGGAGATATTTGAAGAGCATAGATGGAGAGGTTGGTGGTCTTGGAGAGCATAGATACAGCACCGGGGAGATATTTGAAGAGCATAGATGTAGAGGTTGGTGGTCTTGGAGAGCATAGATACAGCACCGGGGAGATATTTGAAGAGCATAGATGATGGAGAGGTTGGTGGTCTTGGAGAGCATAGATACAGCACCGGGGAGATATTTGAAGAGCATAGATGGAGAGGTTGGTGGTCTTGGAGAGCATAGATACAGCACCGGGGAGATATTTGAAGAGCATAGATGTAGAGGTTGGTGGTCTTGGAGAGCATAGATACAGCACCGGGGACATATTTGAAGAGCATAGATGTAGAGGTTGGTGGTCTTGGAGAGCATAGATACAGCACCGGGGTGATATTTGAAGAGCATAGATGTAGAGGTTGGTGGTCTTGGAGAGCATAGATACAACACCGGGGAGATATTTGAAGAGCATAGATGTAGAGGTTGGTGGTCTTGGAGAGCATAGATACAGCACCGGGGTGATATTTGAAGAGCATAGATGGAGAGGTTGGTGGTCTTGGAGAGCATAGATACAGCACCGGGGTGATATTTGAAGAGCATAGATGTAGAGGTTGGTGGTCTTGGAGAGCATAGATACAACACCGGGGTGATATTTGAAGAGCATAGATGGAGAGGTTGGTGGTCTTGGAGAGCATAGATACAGCACCGGGGAGATATTTGAAGAGCATAGATGTAGAGGTTGGTGGTCTTGGAGAGCATAGATACAACACCGGGTGATATTTGAAGAGCATAGATGGAGAGGTTGGTGGTCTTGGAGAGCATAGATACAGCACCGGGGTGATATTTGAAGAGCATAGATGTAGAGGTTCGTGGTCTTGGAGAGCATAGATACAGCACCGGGGGATATTTGAAGAGCATAGATGGAGAGGTTGGTGGTCTTGGAGAGCATAGATACAGCACCGGGGAGATATTTGAAGAGCATAGATGGAGAGAGAGAGATATGGTGTTGGAGAGCATACAACGCCTGCAGGGGATATTTAAGGAGCATAGCCGGAGTGGTTGGTGATATGGGGGAGTATATTGAGCTTGGACGATATTTAAGGAGCATAGACGGAGTGGTTGGTGATATGGGGGAGTATATTGAGCTTGGACGATATTTAAGGAGCATAGACGGAGTGGTTGGTGATATGGGGGAGTATATTGAGCCTGGACGATATTTAAGGAGCATAGACGGAGTGATTGGTGATATGGGGGAGTATATTGAGCTTGGACGATATTTAAGGAGCATAGACGGAGTGGTTGGTGATATGGGGGAGTATATTGAGCTTGGACGATATTTAAGGATGTTGTTTACGCAGCATAGGAATGTATAGTCGGAGCTTTGACAGAGACTGGAATTACTATGCAGCTGATTGTCGTAAGATCTTCGCGAGTCGGTTGAGGCACAGAAACATTGGTCGAGTGACTCGGTATCGTCCCAACGCCGTGGATCGTTGCTCAACGCCTGACCCACACCGTAGGAGCGATGAACGGCAGGAAATATTTCATAGCAGGAAGTGAACGATTTATCACGCGAGAGGAGAGCAGATTTAATTTTTTAAGTGTAGGAACATTGTCAATATCTATATGTCTATAGGCCACACTGTCCCCAAAATTCATGCTGTAAAATAGAAGACACATGTGCGTAATTCCACCAAATATCTTTCCATTCCGTCATCATACAAGCTCATGAGCCTGTACAACATTGTCTTGCTTCGGCTACGTTTCGGTAAAGATGCATCAATATATCAAAGTTTAAGGTATCATTGCTGTATAAACGAAAAACAAAATACACCAACATTTAGAGTAATTATCGAACTATCTTTGTGTCAAATTTGAATGCTTAGTGTTGTGCCGTTTTCGAGCTTTCATCCAGGAAGGCCAACACCTTCAAACTGTTAGTGAACGATTTAAGAACATCATAGTGAACGATTTAAGAACATCATAGTGAACGATTTAAGAACATTATAGTGAACGATTTCATGTAAATAAAATCGAATTTACACTGTGAACGCTTTACGGTGGTTATTCAATAAAGTTTCTAGTGACAAACCTTAGCTGTACTGCCCAAAAGTGGTTTATTCACAGAGAAACCATATAGATACATCCATATTTCAGTCACGTAGAGCTATATCAACTTGATAATTGTTTTTCACCATGTTTTGTAGTATTACTTGGTAATTATATTTCTTACGTACCGATTCTCTCCGTCAACTTCTATATCTGAGTCAAATTGACAGTGGTTTCTATTCTTAACTTTTGTTTCATATCAGTCTTGATCATATCAGTCGCAAAACATTTGCAGATTGAGATACTGGAAGTGAGTGGAATCACCTTGGACTGCTCATTAAAAGCTACACACACTCAACCCCCTGCGAGCACATCTACACCTATCAAAAGCAGTGCCTTGAAAGTGAAATTTCATCAACTCATCATCTACACTCTTCAAAAAAAGAAACGCATAGGTGATTTTGAGAATATTGGACTCATGTAGCTGCGACAAAAACAATACAAATATACTATTTCTTTTCAAAACGTAACCTTTGTGCTTTAGCGCCAAAACGCGGCAATTTTAACTTTTTCCCTTGTTTTAGAAGCGTTTGAAGAAATATTCGCCAAAACGTCACCAAGAAAACATGCAAATCAAAATGCACGTGCAAGTAAGCGGAAAAGCATGCGGTATCGATCACTATAAAAAGACAAAGGTTGTGTTTAATTTTGTCATTCGATTTCGCCTGGAAAAGAGGAAATCATCAAGCCACGACTGAGTGCCGACATTCGCTTTGAAGCTGGGGAGTCGCAGTCTGTAGTTGCCCGACATTTCAACGTTCATCAGAGCACCTCATCTCACCTTTGGGATCGTTTCCTGCAGACAAGTTCCGCCCAAGAAGCGGCCGTCCAAGAGTTACCACCCAAGCCCAGGACCGCTACATCCCGGTTGCTCACTCACGTCATCGTCTTGCCACAGCCGTGGAGACTGCGCAACGCATCCCTGGTTTGAGAAGGATTTCCGACCAAACTGTCAGGAATCGATTGCGTGAAGTGAGGATTCGACCAAGAAAGCCAGTTGTCGCCAGGACTGCACGGTATTAACGGTCTATCGCAATACGCCTGTCAAACGATACCTATGCACTGTTGTTGTTTTTTGTGAAAAATATTTTTATGGTTTAAGTTCAAATCCAGACAGAACTTTCATTCACACTGATGTTTTCCATTGTAATTGTATAACAAAACAGCCTACTTTACATACAATACATTTTATTAAAAAAAAATACAATCCATCAAAATCAAATCTAAATTCGATATGTAACATAGTTTTATGGCTTTAGCATGTAGAGAATAGGCTCTGCATGTACAAACGATGTTACTCAGTGTCAAACACTTAGGCTCCCAATACATCGCAATACATACCGGAATACGGGTACCAGAATCACAATACATTGTATATTGCAATCCAATTTATTTGCCAATACACAGCCCTAGTTTTGAGAGACTTCCATTGGCGCAATCGCTTGCGGGACTGGAACCTTAGAAACTGGAAGCGAGTCTGGTTCAGCGATGAATCGCACTTTCTTCTTCACCGGCAAGTTGGAAGACAGCATGTTTACCGTCGGAGAAATGAACGTTTGCCCCTAATTGCATTCGACAGGTTCGGTGGACAAAGTGTCATAGTGTGGGGTGAGATATCCAGCACGTAAAGATCTGATTTAGTTGTGGTTCAGGGGAATCTGACAGTAAATCGGTACATCAACAAAATCCTTGCACGTCACATACTTCCGATTATGAACCGACAGAGGGAGTTGTTCCAGCATGACAACGCTATTTCACATACAGCACGCGTCACGGTCCGCTACCTTGTCAATTCTAACGTCAATATCTTCCCATGGCATTCCCAATCACCAGATCTAAACCCGATAGAACACCTATGGGATGAATTCGATCGGCGTGTACGTCAACGTCAACACTTCCACAACTGGCCATCGCACTGCAGGAAGAGAGGGGATGAATTCCACAAGTGACTTCGTCGACTTATCCAGTCTGTGCCGAGCAGTGATGGTGGCCATACGGTTATGGCCCGGGAAAGCGAAATCTGGACTAAACATCCTCAACTTAGCTTTCGCTTTCGCGGGAACGGCCAAGCTACAGTGAACACTGAATTTCGCGTTCCCGGGACTCTCAATACACAAGAAAAACAAAGAAGTGTGAGTCGTCGTCTGATACCGTAGTCATGGTAGAAATTTAATATATAAATAACAATAAATGTTTGAGCCACAGACTGTTCACCGATACGTCACATGGATGGATCATGTGGAGGTGGAATTGAAAATATCGTGCATAGACAACTTACATCGTTAAGCATTCAGTCACGTTATTTACGTTACCGCAATGTAATTTACGTTACTTATATATATATAGGACGATAACAACCTAAAACTACTTTCACTTGTCAAAGTTTGATTCACATTTGATATTTCGGCAATGCCAGACAACCAAACACAAAAGTTTCGCGAAACTTTCCAAATTTCCAAATATGGCGGTAACGTAAATTATAGTAACGTAAATTAGTTCTGGTAATGAATAATGTTATGGCAAGATGAATAAATACAGAATGCTTGGTTGGGGCACATGTATAACAACAGACCGCCGGGCCCCAAATGTACCGTGATGAAGACTACTACTGGGATGCTAGAATTTGAGTTATAACGGTAACGTATGATTACTTGCTTAAAAAATCTCTACTGATGTCGAGCATATTTTTCCATATTGTAAGAAAAATCAATGTTAACGAAACTGTATGTTTTAGATATCGAGAATAGATGAACAGGCCAATCAAGAAAAATGATCTTGTGGGTCTGTGCGATGATTTACCACAAGAAAAGCTGTAAACAAACACAACGTAACGTAAATTACTCTGACTCTACCGACATAATCTAAACGTGGGTTTGGGGTTGGTGAACCACCGACATGCTAACATGGGCAAATTAACCCATATGTATGTTGGTTCTTCCATGACACTAAATATAATATAACTTCCGTTGGATAAAATTTTGCAGCAAGCTTAAATGCAAAGAATACGCACTACCGACATAGCAAAAATGCCGCCACAGAACCAGATGTTTGCTTCTGACGCTGCAATATAACTTACTGCAGTCTTAATGAAGGTTGATACTTATTGTAAATTTAGTGTTATTTAGAATACCTGCACAGATACACCTAGATTTAATATCAAATTTGAAAGCACCGACAACCAAAATGTCGGCGACAGCAATTGTCCCAGTTAACTGAGAATTAGTGAGATCTGCTCGAACAACCGTCTTTGCACGGTGGATTAAATAAAATAGTCAAATAAGTCAAACAACAAACACATTTTACTAGACAGCTCCAATACTTCTTTTCTCGGAGGGTTTTCCTACACCGATGCTTAAACTTGTCATAGATCAAGTGCTGAAACTTCATCTCAGAAACAACTGAAACTTCATCTCAGAAAGTTACGAAGTACTGACTTTGACGCCATCTTGTGGACTCCAGTAATCAGAAACAATAAAGGCTACTGCTGTGTTAGCGAACTCTTTGTCTATAGACTTGTGAATTTTCACCATTGAAATTACATTGAATAATTGCTCTTAAACTGGCACAATAAATTCTTCTAAAAATGGCTTTTGCGTTTCTTCTATCTTTAATGTGTGTAACTTTCTTTCTTTTTTTGCTTGACATGGTGATTCGTCATACTTTGACACTAAACTGAGTTTTTCAGGCTCCTTAGAGACAAAAAATTCTTTATCAGTTTCATTTGGCACATATTTGAAATCTTTTTGTACGTATTTGAGGTTACCTGTTATGTCAGCTAAACGTATTTTTAAAATAATAATTGTCTTCAACATTAAATGTCAATACAGTGATATATCCCCCCACTGAAGTCTTGAAACTGTTCAGAAAAGTAGTAGCAGTGATATGGTGACATATCCGTCGTTTAAACATTACAACTGAAGAATAGAAAATTTTATAGTTAGTGGTAATGCTGTATAGCAAATTGGATGAGGAGTTTAGGTTGACCGTAAATAGTTCACCAACAGAAAATGAATCGTTCACCATGACCAATTGTCCGAGTTCTTAAATCGTTCACTATGATGTTCTTAAAATCGTTCACTATGATGTTCTTAAATCGTTCACTATGATGTTCTTAAATCGTTCACTAACAGAAAACGGCACAACACTAAGCATTCAAATTTGACACAAAGATAGTTCGATAATTACTCTAAATGTTGATGTATTTTGTTTTTCGTTTATACAGCAATGATACCTTAAACTTTGATATATTGATGCATTTTTACCGAAACGTAGCCGAAGCAAGAAAATGTTGTACAGGCTTATGGACTTGTATGATGACGGAATGGAAAGATATATGTTGGAATTACGCACATGTGTCTTCTATTTCACAGCATGAATTTGGGGGATAGTGTGGCCTATAGACATATAGATATTGACAATGTTCCTACACCTAAAAAATAAAATCTGCTCCCCTCTCGCGTGATAAATCGTTCACTTCCTGCTATGAAATATTTCCTGCCGTTCACCGCTCTTACGTACGGTGTGTGACCACCCGATCCCGTTAGTCGCATTTTACGACAAGCATGGGTTGCTGCATGAAGACCAATTCTAACCCGGATGTTCACGGTCCGTATACTGATAAGACGCTGTTTATATTTAATGAGGGTAAATGGCACCAGGATAGGTCAATAACCTCGGTAATCCCCATATATCTGGAGACCGTTATTTCTAAAAATCTACTTTTACTAAACGGTGGGACCCCGTTCTCAGGACTGTCTGCAGTGTTGGCGATGCGGCCCTAGAGTTAAAACGATGATTAGTCAACCTGAAGTCCCGTGTTCGATTCCTTATGTTGGTACAAAGTGTGCAATCAATTTCTGGTGTTGAAATCGTGTTGAAAAAGCGGCGTAAAATTGTATTCAGCTACTCCTTTGTCTGATAACTGCCTATCACACCATAACTGCTGGAGAATACTTGGGAGTCAGATTAAATATACCACTTACTCAATAGCAACGATTCGCTAATCGAAAACTGATAATTATACCGTTTTCAGTCGTAACGCAACCGTCATGAATAGGGGATTTCTTTTGTGATTATTTCCAAGGCTTTTGTCTGCATTAACTAAAAAAACAAAACAATATTAATTTACCATATTACTACAATATCCTTAAATACGTGGAATTTGTCGTCATTCAGTTCAGAAATACATTTTACGTAAATTAATACCCTACTCAAACGGTGTTGTTTTTTTCATCATATTTTTATGCACTAAGGTAATCAAGAATCTACTATCAATTATTTACACATCAGATCGAGGTTCATTACCGTCCGTTGATTAAGTATACCACTGTTGTGTTTGTCCTGATCTCCCTCGCCACCTAGCGGTGCAATTACGTCATACTTTAATCAGGAACTCAGACGCTTCATGGCAGTCGCAATCAGATATTTACGACATGTCGTATTCGGATTCTAAAAGTGGAACGTGGTGCAGTGAAAACAGTATGTCGGTTGGGAAAGTCGACGTTTGTCCTTCTGGAATAGAGTCAATAGCATACACGTCACAGTTATCTCTCAACTCTCTAGAATATTACATTTAGCTCAATAAAGCAACTGAATACCATCGAGGCCAGCCATATTGAATTTGTTTTGTAAAGAGGTTTCTGTAAATTATAAGGCAGCCTTATAAGGAAGCAAGCAGTACAGGACATTCTTAGAGCTACGGTGATCGTAACTTCCATACTTTATCATAGACTTACACCTGTGGTAGTCCAGCGTTCGCTTTGTGGAACGGGGTCTTGGCCTGTCCCCAAAACGATCCTTCGGCTAAGATAATATAAACTCCCAAAGGAAATGGTCTTCGGCTCTTTCAAACAATGCGACCTAAGCACTACAGTTGTACGTGTGTAGAAGTATGAAAGTTACGATCATCTTAGCGATAAGACCGCTGGGCCCCGTTTTTCAAAGCGATCGTAGCGCTAAGATGATCGTAACTCCCATACCTTTACATAGACTTAAGACAGTCGTAGCGCTAAAGTGATCGTAACTCCCATACTTTAACATAGACTTAAGACAGTCGTAGCGCTAAAGTGATCGTAACTCCCATACTTTAACATAGACTTAAGACAGTCGTAGCGCTAAAGTGATCGTAACTCCCATACTTTAACATAGACTTAAGACAGTCGTAGCGCTTCGATTGCTTTGTGAAACGGGCCCCTGGACTAAGTTCCACAAAATGATCTAAGACTACCATTATTAGTTGCGTTAAAGTGTGGAAGTTGCGATCGTCTCGTCATGTGGGGTGGGGGTTGGGGGTTGGGGTTGGGGGTTGGGTGAGATGATTTTTAGGGGCGGTCACCAATTTTGTTCTAGGGGAGCTAGGGGTCAGCAATTTTGTACACACGTATTAGGGGGCAGCAATTTTGTACATATAATATGTTTAAAATTATACTTAGAAATTATGGGAAGGGGGGGTCACTGATTTTGTACATGACATGCAGGGTGTCACTTATTGTGTACATAAATTTTAGGGGGGGGGGAGCATTCACATTGTACATGCTTCTCTATAAAAATCATCATCACCCCCCTCTAGCCATAAATTATGAACTGTCCCTTACCGCTACGACTGTCGTAAGTATGCAACTGACGATAAGCGCCATGATATCCCTGATCTACAGAGGAATTCCCCCGTGGTGACGTCACCACTGCACACCCTGATCGGTTTGCCCGCATTACACAACGTCATTATGATACGTGGTTGTGGCAGCGTCAGGCACGCCCTTCTCGTATACAGCAGCATTACATCGACGCCAACACCCGACTCCTGCTACAGTCTGCGGCCGTGTCTGTGTGTGCATTTTTATGTGTTGCTATGCTACATTACATATTGGCTTTCTTTTGTCTTTTAACAGCTCTTTAGTCCAGGCTGTGTTATCAAATCGCCCAAGAAATCTCTACCATGTGTATGAAGAGGATTGTCAATTAGAATTCCAAATCTAAGAAAACCATGTTTAGGGTACGCCCTAAACAGAGCTTAAGTTAACCAACATTTCATATACAATATCGTATATATGGGAAAGGAAGATTTAATATGTGGGTTATGTTCATTTGTAATTTGTTAATGCCGCACTCAGCAATCGTGCTGAACAACAATGGTTTGAATCTGGGCCAACGTGTGATGATGATTAAATATTATTAATTTCTTTTGTAATATATTTTTATTTCTGAGTCCCTGTTACAGATAAGACAAGACACCCAGGGTAGTGCTTGGTCTAAATCAGATGAGAAAAGATATAAAGTCAACTTTAGAAAACACTAGCAAGGTTATTAAATGAGTTATAAAATTTATTGTTGTGCATAATAATTAGTAATGTTGATATTAGAGGTGAAATCTTATGGATTCAGATATTTTAAAAATTTTAACACTGACAGAGACACTCGTTCACAGTCAGATTCACTCCCATTCTGCACTAAACCAAAAAAAGGTTCAATATAACCACGTGGAAGCTTAAATTTAAGCATCCACGAATGATTGTACCCATTAAATCAAGATCACCCAGTTTCAGATATCGACATATCTACATTAGTTAGTTCATGGTACAACATCCACTCGGTACAGAACTGCTATAAGCAATATTTCTTTCAGCCTGTTGTGGATATACTGATTAAAGTAAATAAGATTTAGGGTTGTTTTTCAAATTGTACATGTTTAGATAAAATATTTAGCTGAAGCAGCAGTAGGTCAAACGCATCATCAGTATATATATTTTCTTTCGAGCCAGACAGAATAGGCTTAAGATCAAATTTGAAAATATGTTTAAATGTAAGATGAGTATTGCATGCATTCAAGATAAAATAACACTTTGCACCTTTTTTAACTAATAGCAGTTTCAGGACAACAGGAATATCATCCAGTGTGGTAAAATAGTGAGTTTACTCATTTTAAACGTATTCCGGCATTTCTTTATAGTCTGGATTAACCCTTAATAATGACTGACTGACTGAGTTTGGTTTTACGCCGCTTTTAGCAATATTCCAGCAACATCACGGCTGGGGACACCAGAAATGGGCTTCACACAATGTACCCATGTGGCCTTAATAATGGAGGAAGTTGACATCAAGTTCAACAGTGCTCAAGTGATAGGTGGTATCCCTCGGGATATATAAAGTCTAGTAATTGGCTGACAATTGGTTGTAAAAGATACGTTGTTAAAGAAGAGAGAGAGAGAGAGAGAGAGAGAGAGAGAGAGAGAGAGAGAGAGAGAGAGAGAGAGAGAGAGAGAGAGAGAGAGAGAGAGAGAGAGAGAGAGAGAGAGAGAGAGAGAGAGAGAGAGAGAGAGAGAGAGAGAGAGAGAGAGTGAGTGAGTGAGTGAAGTTTAATGCCGCATCAGCAATTTTGCAGCTATTTGCGGCGAAGGTCAGTTATAAAGTCATCAAATGATTAAGACTGTATGAATAATAAATGTTTAAAGATACTTTTAATATAGTCAGCATATTATTGACTGTGGTGCAAAACTATTTTCACTTACTCGCTCATCTGCGACCCTTCACCGGTCAATAGTGACAGGGTGTCGTGAGGTCGAATCCAAGATTTTCAAGATGTTCACTGTTGATTCACAAGATGTCCAAAGCTCTCTGCATCCTTTCATTGCAAACTGTAGTGAACGGATTCGCTATATGTAGAATGAAGAATGGGGACTATTTTTATGGATATGCAACTTCTTTATTCTGTATAGGCGACGTTTCGACATAGATTCTAATGTCGTTGTCAAGCAAGTGGTACAACGACATTAGAATCTATGTCGAAATGTCGCCTATACAGAATAAAGAAGTTGTATATCCATAAAAATAGTCCTCATTCTTCATCTACCCAACTTCTAGAATGCCAATCAAAGAAGTCATCCGCTATGGTGTCCTCCCAATTACGCAGACAGCATGTTCGCAGACACCTTCAAACAACAACATTTACGGTTCAGTGAACAGATTATCTACTACCTGTTACCTACACATTATAATGGAATAGTCCAAATAAAAACACAGGAACAAACTGAAGCTATATTATTTATTTTGAAAGATGGACGAAAGACAGTAATTTGAATTTTTATTGCTGCAATATATAAACAGTATATTTTCATAAACATTTCGGTTTAACCTTCTAGTCTAACGGGAGTCGGCATCATCATATTGAAAACATTAGCTTAGCTATTAGAAATTGCGACACTGTTGTATCATATAAATCAAATAAAGACAAATGTGAAACGAAATATATTATTCATAAGGAATAAAGAAGTTATATGTTTTGCACACAATATTAAGATATATGACGAGTGCACTTAATTACGATTTATTTAGAATAAATATCTAAAATATGACGCATCATGTGAATGTGGCCATGGATGTGAGAATGTTTTTCATAACTTCCTTGAATGTCTATTGTATACTACTCAAAGACACAAACTGTTACAATCTTTAGAAAGTATTGTTAAAATTAGAACACTGATTGGTATTAATCGTATCTTACATGGCAATGCAGGTGTATCATTTACTGCAAATCAGAATGTTTTCAAATATGTACATATCTATATCTCTGCAAGAAAACGTTTTCTCAGTTAACTTCTGTTGTACATATGCTATTATTGGGAGGGGTCTTTTCTATCATATAAACACAATCAAACCTCTCGGTAACAAAGCTGTTTATATATTCGATAGTAATTGATAATAAAATAAATTTTGAGAAGATAAATCATTTATCATTTAATCACAACAAAGTTCTATTTACCCACAATCAGACTTCTCAGTAACGAACCTGTTTCAGGCTCACCCTGCTCTACTCACTACACAGTGGACTGTTCCATTATACCCGTAGGTGTTACCCTAATTAACTTTCTAGTTCAGTGTCTGTCAATTGGGAGATAACCTTGCTATATGTACCTATGGTCAGGGTCGGTTGCCTGTCTAGTCATTTACATTAATAATAACTACATCACACACAGTGTATATAAGACTACTTGCTCATATATTAACTTGACTGCTTGAAAATGAAAGCTATCGGTAAAAACTGTCACAAAATACCACTTTGATTCTGTAGCCTATAGGGTCGACATGACTAGTCCAGAAGGCAGTGCCTTTATTAACGCACACACACAGCTCGGGTTCGACTGCCGCACAGGGACACAGTGTAAACCCCATGTTTGGTGCCACAAGCATGATTGTGGCTGTTACCCAGCAAGAAAAATGACTGGGTAAGTCCCATGCTTGTTACAGTGAATAACGCGCACCTGTGCGGCATCTCCCAGACCAATTCACGTAACAGACATCACAACATTGGCCATAATCCAGACACATCGTTAGTCTGTCACGGGCCATTTAGTCTCTGTAGGCGTTTCGTATCGCCGTCAGCAGTTCACCACGTACACACCCGCCTAATGGAAAACCCCACTCAGCGACATATATAACACATGATTTGCTTACTGGGTGTAAAATTATTGATAGGCGATATGGTTAAATT